GAAAAAACATGCAAAAGGTCAAAAAACCTAAAGTTGGTTTTTGAAATAATAAGTAAGATCGATAGACCACTAGTTAGAATTAATAGAAAAAAAGAGAGAAGATTCAAAAAAGCACAATCAGAAAGGACAAAGGGGGAATTAGCACTGACCGCACAGAAATAGAAAAACTTCTCAGAGACTATTGTGAACACCTCCATGTACACATACCAGAAAACCTAGAAGAAATGAATAAATACTGAAAACATACAACCTCCCAAGATTGAACCAGGAAGAAATTAAAATCCTAAACAGACCAATAATGAGTTCGAAAATTGAATTAGTCGTAAGAAACCTACCAATCAGAAAAAGCCCTGAACCATATGGCTACACAGCTGAATTCTACCAGACGTATAATGAAGAGCCAGTACCAATTCTACTGAAACTATTCCCCAAAATTGAAGAGAAAGGACTCCTCCCTGACTCACTCTTTGAGGTCAGCACCATTCTGATATCAAAACCTAGCAGACACACACAGACACAAAATATCAGGCCAATATCCCTGATGAACACAGATGCAAAAATCCTCAACTAAATACTATCAAACTGAATCCAGCAGCACATCAAAAAGCTAATCCACCATAATAAAGTGGGCTTTATTCCTGGGATGCAAGGTTGATTCAACATACACAAATCAATAAATGTGATTCATCACATAAAGAGAAGTAAAAATAAAAACCACATCATCATTTCAATAGACAAAGAAAAGGCTTTCAATAAAATCCAACATCTCTTCATGTTATAAATCCTCAACAAATTATGCATAAAATATAAGAGCCATCTATTACAAACCCACAGCCAACATTATACTGAACAGGCAAAAACTGAATGTGTTCCCCTTAAGAACCAGAACAAGACAAGGATGCCAACTCTCACCAGTCATATTAAATGCATACTGGAAGTCCTAGCCAGAGTAGTTAGTCAAGAGAAAGAATTAAAAGGCATCCAAGTAGAAACAGAGGAAGTCAAACTATCTCTCTTCACAGATGATATTATTTTATACCTAGAAAACCCCAGAGTCTCTGCCCAAAAGCTTCTAGATCTGGTAGACAATTCCAGTAAAACTTCAAGATACAAAAACAATGTACAAAAATCAGTAGCATTTCTGTACACCAATAACATTCAAGCTGAACGCCAAATCACAAATGCAAATGCAATTCCAAATATCTAGGAATTAACCAAATAAATGAAAGACCTCTACAATGAAAATTGTAAATCGATGAAAAGTATAAAACACTGACGGAAGAAATGGACACAGAAAGATTAAAAGATATTCCATGTTCATGGATTGGAAAAAACAATATTCCTAAAATGTCCATACCACCATGAGCAATCTACAGATTCAATGCAATCCCTATCAAAATACCAATGAAATTTTCATAGAAATAGAAAAAAAAATCATAAAACTTATATGGAATCACAAAAGACCCAGAATAGCCAAAGCTATTCTGAACAGCAACAACAACAACAAACATAGCTGGAAGAATCACATTACCTGACTTTAAATTATACTACAGAGCTATAGTAACCAAAAGAGCATGGTACTGGCATAAAGACAGACACATAGACCAATGCAGAACCCAGAAACAAATCCACACACCTACAATGAACTCAGTTTCAACAAAGGTGCCAAGAACACACACTGGGGGAAAAGATAGTCTCTTCGGTAAATGATGCTGGGAAAACTGGATATCCATATGCAGAAGAGTGAAACTTGATCCCTATCTCTCGCCTTATACAAAAATCAAATAAAAATGGATTAAAGACTTAAATCTAAGACCTCAAATTATGAAACTGCTACAAGAAAACATTGAGGAAACTCTCCAGGACATTGGTCTGGGCAAAAATTTCTTGAGTAGTACCCCACAAGCCCAGGCAACCAAAGAAAAAATGGACAAATGGGATCACATCAAGTTAAAAAGCTTCTGCACAGCAAAGGAAACAATCAACAAAGTGAAGACACAACCCACAGAATGGGAGAAAATATTTGCAACACCCATCTGACAAGAGATTAATAAGCAGAATATATAAAGAGCTCAAGCATCCCTATAGGAAAAAATCTAATAATCCAATTTAAAAATGGGCAAAACATTTGAATAGACATTTCTCAAAAGAAGACATGCAAATGGCAAACAGGCATATGAAAAAGTGCTCAACATCATTGATCATCAGAGAAATGCAAATCAAAATTATAACGAGATATCATCTCACTCCAGCTAAAATGGCTTTTATCCAAAAGTCAGACAAAAACAAAGGCTGGTAATGATGTGGAGAAAAGGGAACCTTCATATACTGTTGGTGGGAATGTAAATTAGTACAACCACTATGGAAAACAGTTTGGAGGTTCCTTGAGAGACTAAAAATAGAGCTATTATATGATCCAGCAATCCCACTTCTGGATATGTACCAAAAGAAAAAAAATCAGTATATTGAAGAGATATCTGCACTATCATGTTTGTTGTATCACTGTTAACAATAGCCAAGATTAGAAGCAACCTAAGTGTCCATCAACAGAAGAATGGATAAAGAAAATGTCACACTTATACACAATGGAGTACTATTCAGCCATAAAAAAAGAATGAGATTCTGTTACTTGCAACAACATGGATGGAACTGGCTGTCATTATGTTAAATGAAATAAGCTAGGCAGATAAAGACAAACATCATATGTTCTCACTTATTTGTGGAATCTAAAAATCAAAACAATTGAACTCATGGAGATAGAGAAGAGGATAGTTATCAGAGGCTGGGAAGGGTAGTGGGAGGGCAGGGAAGAAGTGGGGTTGGTTAATGGATACAAAATAAAATAGAAAGAAAGAATAAGACCTAGTATTTGACAGCATAATAGGGGGACTATAGTCAATAATAATTTTATTGTACATTTAAAAATAACTAAAAGAATATAATTTTAGTTATCTTAAAATAACTAAAATAGTAATACAAAGGATAAATACTTGAGGGGACAAATAGCCAATTTTGTATGACATGATTATTATGTATTACATGCCTATACCAAAACATCTCATGTACCTCATAAATATGTACACCTAATATGTACCCCCCAAAATTTTTAAAGTTATTTTTTTAAATGCAATCCCATTCACAATAGCAACACAAAGAAATACGTAGCAATAGAGCTAACCAGGGAGGTAAAAGATCCCTACAACAAGAATTACAAAACACTGCTGAAAGAAATCAGAGATGACACAAAGAAATGGAAAAATATTCCATGCTCGTGGATAAGAAGAATCAATATTGTTAAAACGGCCATACTGCCCAAAGAAATTTATATATTCAATGCTATTCCTATCAAGCTACCAATGACAATTTTTATAGAATTAGAAAAACTATTCTAAAACTCATATGGAACCAGAAAAGTGCCCGATAGCCAAAGAAATCCTAAGCAAAAAGTATAAAGCTGGAGGCATCACACTACCTAACTTCAAACTATACTACAAGGCCACAGTAATCAAAACAGTATGATACTGATAAAAAAACAGACACATAGACCAATGGAACAAGTTAGAGAACTCAGAAATAAAGCCAGAAACCTACAACTGATCATCAACAAAGTCAATGAAAACAAGCAATGGGGAAAGGACTCTCTATTTTATAAATGGTGCTGGAATAACTGGCTAGCCATATGTAGAAAATGGAAACTAGACCCCTTCTTTATACCATACACAAAAATTAAGATGGATTACATACTTAAATGTAAAACCTAAAACTATGAAAACCCTAGAAGAAAACGTAGCAAGTACCCTCTGGACATAGACCCATGACAAAGACTTCAAAAGCAATTGCAACAAAAACAAATATTGACAAGTGGGATCTAATTAAACTAAAGAGCTTCTGCACAGCAAAGGAAATTATCAACAGAGTAAACAAACAACCTACGGAATGGGAGAAAATATTTGCAAACCATACACCAAAGGTCTACTATGCAGAATCTATAATGAACTTAAATAAATTAACAAGCAAAAAACAAACAACCCCATTAAAAAATGGGTAAAGGACATGAACGGACACTTCTCAAAAGAAGACATACACGCAGCCAACAAGCCTATGAAAAAAAGCTCAATATCACTAATTACTACAGAAATGCAAATCAAAACCACAATGAGATACCATCTCACACCAGTCAGAATGGCTATTATTAGAAAGTCAAAAAATAACAGATGCTGGTGAGGTTGTGGAGCAAAGGGAATGCATATACACTGCTGTTAGGAACATAAATTAGTTCAGCCACTGTGGAAAGCAGTCTGGAGATTTCTCAAAGAATTTAAGACAGAACTGCCATTTCACCCAGCAATCCCATTACTGGGTATATACACAAATGAACATAAATAATTCTACCATAAAGACATGCATGCATATGTTCATCACAGCACTATTCACAATAGCAAAGACATGGAATCCACTTAGATGCCTATCAGTGTTGGACTGGATAATGAGCATGTGGTATATATACACCACAGAATACTATGAAACCATAAAAAAACAGTGAAATCCTGTCCTTTTCAGCAACATGAATAGAGCTAGAGGTCAGTATCCTAAATAAATTAACATAAGAACAGAAAATAAATACTTCAAGTTCTCACTTATAAGTATGAGCTAAACACTGAATACACATGGACAGAAAGAAGGAAACAATAAATACCTGGGCCTACTTGAGGGTGGAGGGTGAGAGGAGGGTGAGGACTGAAAAACTACCTGTCAAGTACTATGGTTATTACCTGGGTGATGAAATGATCTGTACACCAAACCCCCATCACACACAGTCTAACCACGTAACACACCTGCACATGTACCCCTGAACCTAACACAAAAGTTGAAAGAAAAAAAAAAAAGAAGAGAACACTAATGGATATGGGAATATGAAGCAGTCACTGCCCCCAGGGCTGGGATACAGTGCCCATGGAAGGCTCCCCAGTCACTTCCCAATCCAGGGTTGAAATCCACACCTCACTGAAGAGGGAAGAATCCAGGTTCAATGAATGACAGAGAAATTGCTGTGGTGTCATACTGACCAAGCTTGCTGGAAACCTGCTCTCTGGAACTTGCTGGAAATTCCTGACACTTTTTAGGGTGTCAGGAAAGGCGTTCACAGGGAGATGTCACATTGGAGCATTCCACAAAGTCAACCAAGAAGAGGTGAAAGAGTATGCTGCTGGCCACTGGGTGCTGCTGGTTGCCGGCAGGACCCAGGTGCTGAAGAAACCACAGGCATTCCAGGAGCTTGCATATAAAAAAGGTCAGACCAGGAAGCAAAGCCCTTTCCTCCCATCATGTCTCTCATGCACCCTCTACTGACAAAGATTAACACGGTGCCATCTGGCAAAGAAAAATATTTAAAGGGCCCATATCCATTTTCTCAGAGCAGCAATGAAGAGTGAATTTGTAGCTGTGAGGCAATAAATTGATACCCTATACATCCTTCAAGATGAGAACATCACCTATTCTTTGCTGAATTTGGTTCCAGAAAAGTTCAATGCGTAATAATTATCTTCAACAAAAATGCATAGTTTTTTGGGGTAAATTCTTCCAAGGATATAAAAGGGTGGTGAAAGGATTGTGGAGCTTTCCAGATCCAGAAACCTGCTATGAAGGATATCAGCTACAGCCACGTGCCTCATGAGGATCAGCACCGAGTAAGAGAAGCCATGCTGATTTGTTCTGCATCTGCTCCCACCCTCTGAGGACACCTTGCTGCCTATCAGATTTTACATTCTTTCCTAACTAATTTGAGAACGTAACCTAATCTTACTCTGTGTATACTGTTGTCTCCTCCACCAAGCAATGTTCTACCTGAAATGCTATAGCATGCCATGGAATGTTGTGTAACCATTACATACGTTATTTAAAAAGAGTTCATGGTGAAATGCAAAAAATGCTTATAAGTGAAAAAGGTAGGATGCAATATTATAATATGTGAAACAAACAACACTACATAGAAATAAAGAGCAAAAAGAAATACCCCCAAATCAGTCACTATCTTTAGGTGGAATCGGAATAATTTTCTTCTTCTTCCTATTCTTTTTCTGTAATTTATATATTTACTATAGTGACCATATACTGGTTATACCTTTGGGACAAAACAATCTAACAATAACAACGACAACAATAAATATACATACTTTTAATTAATTCTTTACATTTATGTGTGTATCTTGAAGTCTTAAACTGAGCCAAGGTTTGGGAACCAGAATTTGACAGACAGAGTTCCATATAGAGTATCTGAACCAGTTCTTTATAGTTTACCCAAGCTAAGGTAACTGCGACTCAATAGCAGTTTGGCTAATTGAGATAGACAAATTGTCTACCCTAATGAGATAGAAAAGGGCAATATATTTACAAAAAAAAATGAATTCCATTCCCTGAACTTTTAGAATTATTGAGATCTATACACATATTTGAGAAGGATGTAAGAGAATATCAAATATAAAGAATTAACAAAATAACCAGGAAATAAAATATCAGCAACTTTCTTCTTTATCAGTGAGACAAGCCAATCTCTGTATAGTTTTAACAGCAGTTTGGGGGAACCCTCTAAACACTGAACTCTAAATTTAGAAAACTTATATTTACATTTGCCAATACAAAGCAGTAATTTCCCCCCAAACCACGGCTATTGCTAGACCATGAACTTCTAAACTCAACCTCCATAATCCCTCTGCAAAAACAGGCAGCCACACCTCTCAATTCTATAATAACGTGTAAGAAAAAAGAAAGAAACCACATAAGATGAAAGAAATTCAAATAGCAAATAGTAAGGATTATAAAATGATGGACTGAGTATCAGACTCTACACTATCTGTGGACTCTCTTTCCCAGCACATCGTTTTTTAGGAGCAGATGATCTAAACAGCCCAGCTAAATGAAATGTGCTAGAAGGCAGTGGATGACCTCATGACATCTAAGCATCCCTTCCAGTTCTGGGACTCCATTATTTAGCAGAGATCTGATGCATAGGGAACATGTCAGAAAGAAGCACTCAGTCTGTAACAGAATTTTAAATGGAAGAAAACTTGAGTCTGTGAGGAAGAGGAATGCTAAGTTGATCTCAGTTTGCTTAGGAATGTCCTGGTTTTAGCACTGCAAGTTCTCCATCTCAGGAAACATCATCATCATGGGAAAACCAGAATGGCTAGTCATCTTACTGTTTGGATCTGACAAAGGTTAGCTTCTTTGGGTTCCCATGCAAATTAAAAGCTTTAATTAAGCCTCATGAATCTTTAAACTAGTGACACTGATTTTTGCCTCTTTCACCCAGCTCCATGTAAACACATTCTCATCATCGCCCATACAAGGGCTGGACTCTACGGGTCCTTCCGAATGGAGATCAGGAGAAGCTGTGAATGGTTAAATCCTGAAAATGTTTGAAAAAGAAGCTTCTTCTTCCCTTTATTAACTATAAAGTGGCAAGCTCTCCAGGAGAAACAGGCCTTCTTTGATGAGTGTTCTGACTATATAACAAATGTATTCCCCAAAACCTGTAAACTCACATTCAATTATTGATTAGCATTCTCTTCAGGACACACTATTCAACAACCCAAATTACTCAATAATCAATCCTATTATTTGCTTGCTACTTTTTAAAGGCAATAAAAGGGATACAAATACATGATCTGCACAATGCTTTGTGTTCCTGTTTCCTCTCAGCCACTTCTCTCTGGTGTTTCCATGTCTCTACCAGTCTTTGTGAACCCCAGAAAATCTCCTTCTCAATTCCCAGCCCGCGTGGTTTTCTTTCCTTCTTCTCCTTCCTCTATTCTCAGCATATTAGCCTATCTCCCAGAAAGAAACAGCTCCTTTTCATGAAGAGGTGGGAGGAGGGGAGAAATTGAATTTGGAATTACGGGATTTTCTTTGGCAGTCTAGGAAAGATCAGAATCTGAGGACATTCCTGCGTTAAGTATTCCTGTTCCACAGCACTCCTAATGTTGGTAAGTGTCTGACACAGATACCCATAGCACGTTAGTGCTAAAAAGGATCACAGAATGCACGAGCCCAGTCCCCTAATTTTAACAAGTGGGAAAATCAACAGAGACATTAAATAACTTATTCAAGGTCACAAAATGTCCTTTCCATGCTATATGACTTTAAATCCTGTGACTTGTGGTTATCAAAAGGAGTAGTTGTCAATGCCCTGCAGACAGAGACTACCAGAAATACACATGTAGTTGAATTATGTGCTGTGGCAAGAGAGAACACACACGGTGAGGAACCATGGGGTGTCTCAATAAGAAAGTATTATAAAGGATTTAGTGTAGAATGTTGGTCCTGCTAGGTGACTTTTGGGGAGGGTTTAAGGAAGTGAACTTTGCTGTTGATTGGATACTGTGAGGAAGCAAGAGTACTTCTATGACTAAGTATCATAATAAATCTTATGTGTAAAGAGGGATGAATAGAGCCAGGCTAAAGCCATAATTGGTTTTAAAAAATCAGCAGTCACTCATATTAGCCAGAATAAAGGGATGTTTGGTCAGTTTTATGTCTTGGACAATGTCCACAATTTATCTGTGTCAAAACATAATTACACAACGGTCTTGGTTTTTTTCTTTATCCTTCATGATCACAGAGTGGCCTTGTCTAATGTTGATATTTTGTGAAAATGTTTATTTTGGCAGGAGAACCCCAAGAACTCTTGCTGTCCATCCAGCTTCTGGATGTTGGGAACTGCTTTTCTCATTCTCACAATAATAAAACTACCATCTATGGAGCACTGTCAGTATTCCAGGAAAGTTTTACTCTTCATCACCAACTGAGGAGGTAGGTAGTATTATGATTCTAATTTTCATAAGAAGAAACGAAGGCTTGGTGAGGCTGGTAATCTCACAGCGAGTAGATGGGCAGAGCTGGGGCTCAAAACTGGACATCTTTCGGCAGGGTGTGTACTCTGATCTTCTCCATGACACTGCAAAGCATGAACTGGAATATTGGGGTCAGGGGAGTTAACTCATGGAGATGTGGAACATTTTTGCAGTAAATACAATGAGGAGAATATTTATTCAGGGATTGCAGGCTTCCATGAATGACTGGATCATGAGACACTCAGGATGGAAGAAGAAAAAATGTGGGAAAAAACCCAACTGTGACATTTTCACCATAAAACCTTTCTTGGGAATAGTCTAATAAAAGGAAGGCTGACTTATTGTTCCTTAACTGAAGAATGACTTTTATGATTTAGAATATTATTTTAAACTTTATTCTCTGTTTCCAGTGTGAATTTAAATCAACTGACAGGAGAAGGAAAAATTCAGCAGCAACTCCTCCGACATAGAGTAACTCAGTGTAGTCAAATGGTAAAGCAAAATTGTTCAGGGCTTTCTGATGGGAGCAGCAGGCACCTGGCAGTACCAATGACTTAATCATAATGATCAAGAGGAAAATATGGTTATTAATAGCCTTATAAATGCATTTATTTTTCAGAATCACCTTTGGAGTGAAATGAAAGAATGAAACTCAAATTAATAGAGAAAGGCCCCCACTCCACTGTTCCCACACACTTCCAGGTCCTCCTGACTTCAGTGGGTGTTCTGGGCACAGAGAAAAAGCAGGAGCTCAATATTGATCTATTTCTAGTATTAGAAAGAATTATTCTCTTAAATTTCAAGGCAGCCAAAATCCTAGCATCACAGCAGCACTATAACCTGTGCTTCCCTTAATAGATCCAAGTAACAGCACTGAGATACAATATACACTCCTTTCTCAAATGAAAGAAAAAGAGCTATTTCAGATGTGGGGTGGGAGGTACTGGGGAGGTGGTTTGATTAAAAAAAGGGGAAATGGGGTATAAGATATAGCTCTTCAGCTATTGTAGCTTTTATCGATCTGTTCTTATCACACACATTCACTTTTTCAAGTATCATCATTCAACAACTTATTGTGCCAGTACTATGCAACAGGCACTGGGCTAAGCTCTAGAAATAAAAAGTCATTTAAGATTTGGTCTATAGAAAAATTAACTCAAGATGGATTAAAAACTTCAGTGTAAAACCCAAAATTATAAAAACTCTGAAAGACAACCTAGGTAATACCATTCAGGACATAGGCACAGGCAGATTTCATGATGAAGATGCCAAAAGTAATTGCAACAAAAGCAAAAATTGACAAATGGAATCTAATTATACTGAAGAGCTTCTGCACAGCAAAAGAAACTATCAACAGAGTAAATAGACAACCTACAGAATGGATGAAAAATTTTGCAAAGTATCCATCTGACAAAGTTCTATTATCCAGCATCT